TAACTAATGGAAATGATTTTAACTAAAGGTTTCATGATTTCATGGTAAAACATGCACTTACTTCCGCTATTGCAAAATTTTTGGCAGTCCTGAAATCGCCTCAAAAATTTTTCAGGTGGATTTTTGACTGATTTGAGTGTTTCCTAGAACCAATATCAATAGAATTTTTGTGTTAGAAGATAGCCATCTTGAGATTAACTGTAAATAAAGTTCAGGCTGACGTCAGAAAAATGAGTTGTCCAGTTACAATTGCCCTGTTTGCATATTAAACTTTCTCTTGATCATTTCTCCGCATCACATCTGCTCTATTAGATTAGATGGAATTGAACCTTTTATATTTTATGCCTGAAAACTTCGTATTACATATTTATAGAGTAACCTTAGAGATGACCTTACAGATACTGCTTTCAAATCAATGCAGTTGTTTTACTATTATTTGGTATTGAAGGAGGAATTTTTGATAATATTCTATCTGAAACTTTTTAATTTCAGAGTTTAAGGATATGACCCAAGTTTTTAAGTTTTAAAGTCCAAACGAAATTTCTTTGTGAATAAAATAAATTAACTACGTCAAACAAACGTTATCTGATCATAGAAATAATTACGGTACTAACCTTAGTTACACTAAATTATCACAGAGATAAGTTTCCAAGCCTCGTAAAAATTGCAACTTTAGCAAAATAAACACCTTTATCTCTTTATCGTATTAGTGCATTTTTTGCAATGAGATTAAATGCAAGGAAATTAATTGGTTGATTTTATTAAACCACACAGATGTACCACTTGGATTTACTCAAATTAATTATGCGTGTTGGCTATATTTAGGCATGAAATTAATTCAGAAACATTTTTTTCAGTCAAGCGATATTAAAATATTTTGTGAGTTACGAAGCAATAGACTTTCTCTCTGTAATTTCATTATTTATTGCACGTTGGAAATATGCAACTCATTTCTGCAGTCTGCAGCTGCTCTTGCATTTATCTTAAGCCACATTTAAAGCAACATTCAAAGAAATTCATTTTTGCATGAATGAGTCTCAACAAAATATTGTTTTCATGTCTACCTCCTGACCTTTCCCAATAGGAAAAGTATATAAATCAGCCAATAAACATTTCATTCAATAATTGCCTGTTTGCTATCTATTATCGCAAATTATCGCGAATTTTTATTGTGGCTTAATTTCAGCCAACAAATCATTTTTACAGTTCAATTCTCGTCGGTGGTGCGACACAAATTCAATCATTTTGAAAGTTTGATTGACTATTCAAAATCTATTGAACCACGAGTTGGAGAAATGGAATAGACACAAAAAAGCCACCTTTCATTTCACAATTTTCGACCGTCAAAAATGGTAAGTTTTTTGTTCGTTATTTATTGCAAGTTTGCAAAATTAAGATTAAAATAATCATTTGTTTGTGCTCAAATTTCCAGAATTGAACACATTCTTCGGGTCATGAAGTCACTTAACCGATAAAATAAGTGTTTCAAAACCCAAAAAATACTTTTTTAATGTTATCAGATAAGTCGTTTTAATTCAACTACCTGTTTAATGCAAATTCATGACATCACTGTGATTTGTTTTGCTCGTTTTGAATGATCGATAAATCGCTTTCAAAATTATTTAATTGTAAATCGCCTGCTTCAGGGTTAAATTGCAAGGAAGTTATTTGAGTAAATGTAAAGGTCATGTTTTTATTTTCTGTTTTTGCGAATAGTTAAATGATGAACTATTTTCGGGTTTCGTGTTGATTGAATCATTCAGTTTAAAAATAATAAATTGAGTAGACTAGATAAAACGAAACTTGGATGTTTATTTAATTATAGATCAAGGCATCTGACCGGCCATGGCTAGTCTCAAATAAATATGTAACAAACAACGCTTGCACATCATACCCGAGCCAATTATTCATTATTAATAGTAATAGATAATCCGGTTTTATTAATTCTTCGCTTGAATTTCACGCGATGTTTTTCTCACTACCATGAGAAACTTACAAACTCATTTAAACAAAGATCTGCATTTTTACACACCGATGAATTGACAGATAATGAAGATAAAAAACCGTTCATTTCCCTCGAAGTGAAAGGTGCTGACATGCCACTGGCATACCGGCCCCCTTAAATTTTCAGTTTAAAAAACAAAAAGTGAAAAAAAAAACAGTAATAATAACGACGTGGACATTTTTTTTAATTGTTCTATGAGTTTCTATTAATAATATATGGTTGAAATAAGTGTCAAACTTTAAACCATATTCAAGTTTTCAAATTAAAGCTCAATTTTAATTTATTGTCACCTTTTACGTTTCAAAATATTTATATTATCATTCACCGAAGAATTTGCTGCAGTGTCTCGTTAAAAAAATTAAACAAGTTTTTTTGTTAAACTAATTAAACAAAATTTTATTATCATCTACTAACATTTGTGAGACAACTCGAAGAAAGTTCTTAAAATTAAAGAAATGTAGAAACCAAAAATGTTTTCTGTATTCTCTACGAGAAAATCTTCCATCCATTTTTTAGCTAGCATTCTCTTTTTAATTATTTAATAAAGGGAAAAAGGTCATACATGGATGAGTTCTTGTGAATAAACCTTTTTATTTCATAAGTTACAGTGACTTGTATACAAATAAATTTAAGAAATTCTCATAAATAATGAATTTTGAAACGAAATAGTTTATTACAACCGAGAAAAAACTTTTTTCCCACAAATCCATCCATAGAGATTTAAAAAAGTCAATAACATTTTAGAGTGGAAAATTCTATTTCAAAACTCATCTTTACCAAAATTTGAGAAAACATTAATCTGCATCTATTTTTCTAACAATTAAATTGCTTTTTTGACAATTGATAGGCTCACAACCTCGGTAATCCTACATAAATTACTTCCCGACCAAGGGTTGGAATGATGTATTTTCCGACCTCTAAAAAGATGGAATCGGCATATTTTTATAGTGATTGTGAATAAAAATATATACCATTTTAGTAATAGGCTATTTATATAGAAAAAGAAACTTTTTTACCACAAATCCATAGAAATTAAAAAAAATTCAATAATATTTTATAGTGGAAAATTCTATTTCAAAACTCATCTTTACTTGCATCTGTTTTTCTAACAATTAAATTACTTTTTTGATAATTGATAGACTCACAACCTCGGTAATACTACATAAATTACTTCCCGATCAAGGGATGGAATGACATATTTTCCGACCTTTAAAAAGTTAAGAATAGGCATGTTTTTATAGTGATTGTGAATAAAAAAATATACCATTTCAGTAACAGGATATTTATTTATATAGAAAAAGAAACTTTTTTCCCAAAAATTCACAAAAATTTAAAAAATTCATAAACATTTTAGAGTGGAAAATTCTATTTCAAAACCCATCTTTACCAAAATTTGAGAAAACAATGATCTGCATCTGTTTTTCTAACAATTAAATTGCTTTTTTGATAACCTCGGTAATTCTACATAAATTACTTCCCGACCAAGGGTTGGAATAACGTATTTTCCGACTTCCAAAAAGTTAAGAATCGGCATATTTTCATAGGTAGTGATTGTGAATGAAAAAAATAACATTTATGAAAAAAAAATTTTTGCCCACAAATCCACATAACTTTAAAAAATTCAACAATTAAATTGCTTTTTTGACAATTGGTAAACTCACAACCTTGGTAATCCTACATAAATTACTTCCTGATCAAGGGATGGAATGACGTATTTTCCGACCTCCATAAAGTTAAGAATCGGCATATTTTCATAGGTAGTGATTGAATAAAAAATACCATTTTAGTAACAGGCTATTTATAACGAAAAAAAAATTGTGCCCTCAAATCCACAGAATTTTAAAGAATTCAATAACATTTTAGAGTGGGAATTTTATTTCGGATCTTATCTTTACTACCAAAATTTGAGAAAACATTGATCTGCATCTGTTTTTTTAACAATTAAATTGCTTTTTGGCAATTGATAGGCTCAATAGACTCACAACCTTGGTAATCCCACATAAATTACTTCCCGACCAAGGGAAATTAAGAGTCGACATATTTTTATAGTGACTGAATAAAAAGCAGGCTGTTCATAAGAAAAAAACCTTTTTCCCACAAATCCACTGAAATTTAAAGAACTCATTTTACAGTGGAAAATTTAATTTCGAAACTTATCTTTACCAAAATTTGGAAAAACACAATCACAATCTTGATAATAAATTAGGTACTTCCCGACCAAGGGATGGAATGACGTTTTTTTATAGAGATTGTGAATAAAAAATATACCATTTTAGTAACAAGCTACTCGTATTTATATAGAAAAAGAAACTTTTTTCCCACAAATCCACAGATATTTAAAGAATTCATTTTAGAGTGGGAAATTTAATTTCGAACATTATCTTTTGCAAAATTTGAGAAAAACATTGATCTGGATGTTTTTTTGGCAATTGTATCTAAATTACTTCCCGACCAAGGGCTGGAATGCCCTCTTGTCCACAAATGAATTTGAGAAAAGTTTGATTTGCATACTATCAACGTTTTTTTGTCAAGTTAAATAATAAATTAGATGAGTGTAAGGTATTTATTTAATAGTTGGTAGTGTCTAAATTATATCTGTTATATTTTAGTGTTGACTGAAGATAAAGTTGTTAAACTGATAAACCCTCAGTCCCCTCTCGAATGCATCTGTCGAATATTGCAAATTGCAGCTATTGAAATAAACAAACTTCACATTTGTGTGAAAAATCCCTCGATTTTTGCACAAGGCGATCCAGGCTCAAAATTCAAACGTGTGAATTGTCGAAACCTTTGCGCCAAAACACAACCCTGAACCTAAGGTCTTTACCTCAGTAACCGTTCGATGGTCAAATTAGAAATGTTAACAACATCAACAACCTCTAAACAAAGAGTTTTGCCTGCATACAACCTTGCATTCGGTCCGATTCGCCATCGCTCGGATTGCTTAGATTGACTTAGCTAAGCAATGCGAATATCGCGGGTACTTAGTGTTTAGCTTGCGAGCGCGCCTTCGACTTTGGCTTGCGCACGCTCTCTGACGGTGAGCGCCAGTTCCAAACTTGAGTTTCACCGTTAACCCAAACAAACAAATCGCTAAATTGTGTATTATCGAGTTGCGGATCCGAGTGTGTACTTTCCTCGTTTGATTGTGTCTGTGTTGTGGGGTTTTTGGTGACCTGACTTGACCGAAGCAACCCTGGACCTATTAAAATTAGATGATCTGACCCAATTGTGCCTGGAATTATTTTTATTTACTCCTATTGTGTGTGGTGTTCAGTGCAGTGGTTTTTTTTCAGTGCGGATTACACCCTGGATACGTTTATTTTACATGGATTTGAGGTAAAGACCCTGGTTGTTGAACCCGGTACTTTTTCAAAAATATAACGGCGCTCTTTGCACAACCCAACCTTGGGCTTTTTCGGGAACAGCTCCAAAACCCAATCAACTACATAGAAATATCAACATTTTTTTTCGACAGACATTTCGAACACTTTCTCTAAGTCACGCACAAGCGAAAGTTGTGAAATTGCCGAAATTTTCCCACTCTTTATGCTCGGATGAGTATTTTTACGTTTCGCTAAAAGATATCAAACGCTTAATTAAAACGAATTGTTTCGAGAAAGTGCAATTTTTACTTTTCAAAATCACACCAATATGATTACCAAGTAAACATAATTTGAAAATTGAGCAACGACAGGATTTACCATTTTAATTAACAAACTTCTGAAACGAAGGATGCCAAAATTTCTGTTGCTAGGCCCAAAAACGGCAGAAATGTGATTGGCAATGACCTTTTGGTGCAAGACAGCTATCAATTCACGTGTAATTTTTCAAATGTTATCAGTTTGAAAAAAGCGACACCATCATCTGCGTGATTTAAATTTTGGTTTAGAGCTAAAAAACTGGCATTTCCGCATTGGTGAAAATCTGTTTTTCTAACAATTAAATTGCTTTTTTGACAATTGAGAAGACTCACAACCTTGGTAATTCTACATAAATTACGAATAACGTATTTTCCGACTTCCAAAAAGTCAAGAATCGGCATGTTTTCATAGGTAGTGATTGTGAATAAAAAATACCATTTTAGTAACAGGCTGTTTATAAAGTAAAAAAAATAATTTGTACCCACAAATCCACAGAATTTTAAAGAATTCACTAACATTTTAGAGGGGGAATTTTATTTCGGATGTCGTCTTTACCAAAATTTGAGAAAACATTAATCTGCATCTGTTTTTCTAACAATTAAATTGCTTCTTGACAATTGATACTTTCAATAGACTCACAACCTTGGTAATCCCACATAAATTACTTCCCGACCAAGGGAATGATGTATTTTCCGACCTGTAAAAAGTTAAGAGTCGACATGTTTTTATAGTGATTGAATAAAAAACAGGCTGTTTATAAGGAAAAAACCTTTTTTCCCACAAATCCACAGAAATTTAAAGAATTCATTTTACAGTAAAAAATTTAATTTCGAAACTTACCTTTACCAAAATTTGAAAAAACATTGATTTGCAGTTGTTTTTCTAAAAAATAAATTGCATAATCTCACAGTCTTGATAATCCTACATAAATTAAGTACTTCCCGACCAAGGGATGGAATGACGTATTTTCTGACCTCTAAAGTCTAAAAACTTAAAAATCGGCATATTTTTATAGTGATTGTGAATAAAAATTATACCATTTTAGTAACAGGCTATTTATATAGAGAAAGAACCTTTTTTCCCACAAATCCACAGAAATTTAAAAAATTCATTTTAGAGTGGGAAATTTAATTTCGAACCTTATCTTTTTTCCACTCTTTATCCTCTGATGAGTATTTTTACGTTTCGCTAAAAGATATCAAACGCTTAATTAAAACGAATTGTTTCTTCGAGAAAGTGTCATTTTTACTTTTCAAAATCACAGCAATCAATGCAAATGTTTAGTTTTGAAAATTGAGCAACGAGAGGATTTACCGTTTTAATTAACAAACTTCTAAAACGAAGGATGCCAAAATTTCTGTTGCTAGGCCCAAAAATGAGATTGGCAATGACCTTTTGGTGCAAAACAGCTATCAATTCACGTGTAATTTTTCAAATGTTATCAGTTTGAAAAAAACGACACCATCATCTGCGTGATTTAAATTTTCATTCATTATGGTTTTGGTTCGAGGCGAAAAAGCTTGCATTTCCGCATTGGTGAAAATCTGAGGCATTATGCAGTGGATGTTGTGTATTCTCGGCTTGGACCTTGACGTCCATTAACTTCGGGTTAGATGCGTCAGTGTTTCAAGGCAGTTCGCGTTGCGGGTATGCTAAAGTATTTAAAATCCAATGCTACCGAACTAGCTTTTCATAAATAAAAGACCGATAATTTAATTCAGTCAACATTGTGGCGTATTTTTGGTCGATTATCTGACTGAAATATTTCCATTTATCTATAAGAACGTTGCAAGTTCAGTTTCAACTTGTACCGTTATCCTGAATTTTATCCGAGAAGTACCGTAGCGCTGAATGTAGGTACTATATTTTTTTATTAATGAGATGGAGAGAATTCACTGGTCCACAAATGTGGGATTTTATGCCCAAGGAAGTTAATCTCTCGTTTAAATGCCTAATTATTCTCAGATCATTGAACCGGTTAAACGCTATTGTTTCAAATCCAACCGGAATAAACACTGCACTTTGAATAAAATACTACCTTTCAGCAATCACTTTTAATGATTATCAATTTTTGCTTTGTCAAAATTTTGGGGACTAAAGGTTAATGTCTGGATCAATAAAACATCAATTGTCGCTATCCAGACCAGATTTATTTATATTATTAACATTATTACAAACCATTATTCATATCAATTCCAAAATATAAATACGTAACGAAGCAATTGCTTCTGATTTTAAAGCATTGACCTCTCGGAATAAAAAATCGCAAACCGATTAACAAAAGTTACTAATTTAAACCCATTTTTATTGTTTTATTTAAAAACAATATTTTTCCTTTACACTTTAGACGTCAATCATTATCATTTACATGTGATCGCCTTGCAGTTGATGGTATCTGACTGCAATAAAAACAAATAATGCTAACGAAACTTCATTTTGCTGAACTTTTTCCATTTCACACCATTAACAAATCAGCTTGTAAAACAAGACTCTTCGAATGATTGTGTGATTTTAATGTCACAATGAGTAACAACACTGAAACTGAAACTATTCATTTAATGTTTCTTGTAATTAGTCCGTCCGTATCTTCAACATCAAATAAAGTATCACGCATTATTAAGAATTTAAATTAGGTTAATTGAAAAAACTGAAGAACTTGTATCTCGTTTCATTAAATTAAGAAACATTTTGTTTTTGCTCTGTAGATAGTGATATTCTTTAGTATGATTAAGTGCAAGTTTTTGCAACGCTGCACGAGGGATGATGCAATTCATTACATATTGTGTAATTATAATTGGGACAAGACATACTTTGTTCTATAAAACCGATTCTTCGTTTGATGATTACTACTTTCACAACGTTCGAGAATCGTAACAGTTATTAATAAATCCTCATGAGGCACAAGATACACCATTTCATAATATTTTCAGGAAGACTGGACTATTTTTAAATTTTTCTTTATTTCGGTCGCGATTTCACAAATTATTTTTTTTTATCTACAAGAATTATAATAAATAGAAAATATTTTCGTTTGTTTACATATTATGACACAATGCTCTCTTCTTTTATCGTAAACTTCTATAATAAAAAAGTTTATTCACAATTATTCTCATTAAAGAACAAAAAGCCAATAAAGAAGCTACCAAATTTTGAAAAACAACAAATTATGACGGATCAGGTTGGGAAATGGTCACTTCCTTATCAATTTTCGGGTTGGGAAATTGCCATTTCATCTCAATTGTTAAATAAAGTTGAAATGTCATAATTTGCAACTTTTCGCCGAATAAATTTAAAATTGGTTCCTTAAAATATGTTGATAATTTTAAAAACAATAGAGGCAAAAATATTCAAATTTTCGAAGATACTAGCGAATTTCATTACCTCAAATGTCACCGACCAAGTTGAGTTATTTTGAGTTCTTTAGACATATCCTATCACAGCTTAAAATTTCTGCACAACTATTAAAATCACCCTGTATAATATTATCTTGAATCTATACGTATTTTCATCCATTAAAGGTCAGATTTTCTGTTGGGCGACAACAAAATTGTTAAATAGTCTACAAAAATAGCATGGTACAGTGGCGGACACGGAATTTTGGACAACAAATTTATGTCAGTTCAAAAAATGTCAATGTAAGCCACGCTTTATTGTCATCATGGTTGACGTTTGAAACTAAAATTTAAAAGTTTTAGTTGAAATTTATTTCGGGCGTCGATTTTCCGAAACAATAATGCCAGCAATATGTGTTTTTATATAAATTCAATAAATTATTTTAAATTGTTATCATTTGTTCTTTAGCTATCAGAATAAAAAATACAAAAACCAAAAGTTGCTTAAGGCCCGTTTGCATTTTTATGTCAGTCGAGTGACAAATCGTCCAAAATTCTGTGTCCGCAACTGTACCAAAAATTTTCATCACTGAGATTTTCAAAAAAATAGTTTTTTTGGGTAGAGAAACAATATTTTATACTTTTTCTAAATAACAAAGAAAAACCTCATATGCCCCAGGAATCGCAGACTGGAAGTGATTTTAAAATAGATTTAAAGTAATTTACAGAATTTGAGGAATTGTGTTATTTCATGTAACTTTTTTCAAATTGGTGAAAAAAATATCTCGAGACTTACTCAACCGATTTTGGTGAAATTTTTACCAAATATTATTATAAATATTATCTTGAATTTAGCATAAGACTTTTTTGATTGAATACACCATTCGTTGTTTATTACGGTTTAAAAAAAAATCGATAAAAATCAGAACTTTTTTCAAATAGCTGTAATTTCTAACAAAAATTATTTTTTACCTATGCTACATCGTAAGCTATTATTTATTTTAATTGTTGATAAAACTGTAACGTATTTAGGATTTTAAATATTTTACACCTATTTTTCCGAGCAAGTAGACAATATTTGGCAAATCTCTGTATAAATTAGATAATGAAAAATCTTTTAAGAGTATAAATCAATAGACAAAGGTTTGCGTTTTGTTTTTCTGAAAATAAACAATATTAAATGGAGAATTTTTGCGAGTTCAATGACACCCAATTTGTTAAAAACAATGCTTCATTAATAAGCTTAAATTACATTTTCAGTAATTATTGTTGTCCGTTTTTAAAATCACAAATCATTTTAGCAGTTGCAAATTTCTAGTAAGATAAATTACCAGGGACATGAAAAAAATTCTTTCTTTCAAAAAATTGTGACATTTATTTTTTGACATTTGACATCTTTTTATGTCTATTTAATGATACTGATCATCTTGTAATTAAGGATACAGCTTCCTTGTTTCCTCTTCTAATAGCTCGTAACAAAAAAAACCTCGAAATTTTTATTGATAGAATTTTTTTAACATTTTCTTCATGTTCCTGGCGCACCCTATATTTTATTTATTTTGTAAATGTTCCTAGGATCAACTCTTAAAAAGTAAATAGAAGATAACAAACACCTAAATGGAAAACTGCTCAAAATAATTTTTAATGTAATTAAATTTAAGATAACTGCGTTATCAACAAAGTGAATCATAAAAAAGAACATAATATTCCGCATTCTGCTCAATTCGTGGAATTTTACCAAAGATAAGCTTTATTTAAATACGTAGGTAAAACCACTTACCTTTATTTAAAATAGAACCAAACTTGTATGGGTCAGTTATTTTTTTATTTAAATATTATTTATTTTTATTTTCGGGTCAACATCGAACTGGTTCTTTTTCCCATCTAAATGCCCAGCTTGATTTAAATTTCATCCAGTCACATCTAAATTTCAGTCCGAGATTTCAAGGTCCTGTATAATAAGTGTGTGACTTTTAAAGGATGCGGAAAGGTGTAGTCAATATCTTAGACTTGTTATTTAATTCTCTAATTATTCTTTCTTTACATCTGGAATTACAACTATATAGGCAATGTGTTCACCTCGGAGCAAAAGCTGACTGACATGCCTTGAGCAAGTCTCAGTTTTTTTTGTTGTCTGTATTACAGTAATCGGCGGTGGTAAGACCTTCGGCCGAAATCCTCGCTTACTTGCACTATCTAAAATTTTCTTTTATTACCACTAAAACTCCTCCTCAAATTGCATACCCAAAGCTGGTATTTTCCGTTTCTTCGGCCTTGTCCACACTTCATCAACATCTTCTAATGCCAGATTCCAATGCTTGTCAAACGCCACGACATACGCAAGACAGTATCCTCGAATGTCATGACTATGTCGCGTCCAGATCTGAAATTGCATGGAATCTCTTCTATTACAAAACTTTTAAAAAGCGAAAGTGATTCAACCGACCACACAGCAAATGTATCGTTTAAACGAAACAACAACTTTTTGCTACGATATTAGAAAATTGATTACACATTCACTTTCTGCAGAGAAAGTGCCAACAAGTCAACACCGTAAAGTTGTAACATCTGCTGCGGAAGAAACCGTGTAATTGTTTCAAATTCGCGTTTTAAAAGGGCGAAAACCATGATCTGAGCCTCTACTTTCGCGGACCTTGATGCGAGGTCCCTACGAGGCCGACCTGCAAGGTTACCACGCCTAAGCAGCACCGCGGTCATCAGGTGTGCCCCGACAAGGATGCTGGAGTTCCATGGATTGCGAATTTACATCTCGCTCCCCATCGAGACGGAAATATGCGAGCTTAAAGCATTAATGTCATCTTTAACAAACTGCAGCACCACAAACTCGGAAAATGATTGATCACTATTGTAAGAGAAGTTGTTAGAATATTTCTTTGAATTGCAACAACCTATAAAGATGGACCAGTTTGAGACTCTATGGAGGGATTAAATGAGTTCGCAAAGGTTCGAAGAACCCAGATCAGATAGAGTGCTGTATTATGAAAAACGCCCCAAACCATAACTCCATTATTTTTAAAGTTATGACTAAGGCTCGGATTATATGCACGAAAAAATCGTAAAATATGCGCATATATATGCACGTATTTTTACAAAAATATGCACAATATATTAAGAAATATGCTCCAGTATATACCTACCAAATATGCATCGATATGCAAAATTGTGAACAATAAAAAGTCAAACGTTTTTTGCTTAAAGTATTTATTTTTTGAAAAAACTAATTGATGTTTGATGTGATCAAAAATAAAGTTTTTCGAAATTTTTGTTATATTGTTTTTGAGTTTTACAAATTATTGATTATCAAAAAAAAACATTTTTTTCATAAAGCTCATGCTCTAAGGGATTACAACTATCTACTTTAAATTATTTTTTTACATACAAGGTGATTCACGAAAAAGCCTGACCAAATTCTCGATACAACCACCATTACTCTTCGCAAGTTATTTTGCGACAACTGTAATGTTGGTTGTATCGAAAATTTGGTCAAGCTCATTATTCCACGTGAATCACCCTGTATATCGCAATTTAGACAACAAAAATCGAATAACTCAAAAACAAAACAAAATTTTGTTTTAAAATAAGATCATTTTTTATATTACTTTAATTTATATTAATTATTATTTTTTGAAAACAAATGATTAAAAAAAACCGCTTGGTTCAATACAATTTAAAAAGGAAACACTCAGCAGGGTACTAATTTTTTGAGTTTGGCTTACGAATTACCTGTTGTTTTCTCTTTAAAATATTTTGTAATCGGATCATTTTTCATAAACTGTCCAATTTTTAACTTGAACTGAAATTTTTAATCGCAAATTAGTGATTTGAAGAAAATATGCACAAATATGCAATATTTCCTAAAATATGCACCAAGTTGCCAAAATATGCATTTTTTATTTGGCTTATTTTAATCAAAAAATATTAGATATGCATAGAAAACTTACAATTTTGTTGATATACCTCTTTATAACAAATATGCATTTTGCATATAATCCGAGCCTTAGTTATGACAATACTTCTTAGAACAAAGTTGAACATTTTTTGTCATCTATCGTTTAGGATAGTTAATGCTGTTTTCTGTTTCACCGGAAATCACATCAACTTAATTTTTTTTAACACCCTGTATATTTTACCACTTTTGGACTCTTTGTTTAATTGTCTTTTAACAAGTTTTAGTACCATATGCCTAAAACTAACCGTTCGTGAGATATTCACCAAATAATGTATTTATTAAAGTAACAATAATAACAAGTAATATTGACAAATATTATTCTTTTGCATTTTCTCTTACTGTTTTTATACTTTTTAATGTTAATCATGGATGATAATGTGTTAACAGACATATTTTGAATAAAATAAAAATTGTGGGAGAGCACTACGCTTTTACACTGGGTGATTTCTGATCAAATCGTCGAAAATTTAAGCGACTTAAAGAAAGTTTGAGGATATTTTGGGCTTTTAGAAAACCCAAATTAAAACATCTCCAATTTCAAAGAGATAGAGAATTAGATAGGTATTGAAGAAAATGCAAGAACATGAATTGAAGAAATTGCAAGTAACGTTGGCTTATCGCACGCAACTGTTCGAATTTGGGTTTTCTAAAAACCCCAAACATCCTCAAATTTTTTTCAGGTCGACGAATTGGAACTTCTCTTATTGAAAACCGCCCAGTGTAAAGGCGTTGTGGTCTCCAACTATTTTTATTGCTTTCAAAATATTCTTGAATCATGTTTGTTACCACATTATCACTAGAACACCAAAAAGTATAAAAATAATAAGAGAAAATGCAAAGTAATAATATTTGTCAACATTACTTACTGCCTACTTTAATAAATTTTTAATTGACTCATATCTCACGAACGGTTGGTTTTAGGCACATGGTACTAAAACTAGTTAAAAGACAATTAAACAAAGAATCCAAAAGTGGTAAAATATACAGGATGTTCCATTAAAAAAAATAAAGTTGATGTCATTTCCGGTGAAACAGAAAACAGCATTAATTTAGCATCTATCTCAAACGATAGATGACAAAAAATGTTCAACTTTGTTCTAAGAAGTATTGTCATAACTTTAAAAATAATGGAGTTATGGCTTGAGGCGTTTTTCATAATACAGCCTGTATAATTTCGCATTTCTCTTTAATTAATGCAACGCAGTAAAATAGCGAATGTAGTACCAATGTCAATACCGATTGCAAAATTTGGTACGCATCTAGGTGAATATTAAAGAAAGTGTAAACTTGGCCCAGATTCGAAGCTGATTGGCTGAGGTCAAAACCAAATTCCGCAATGTTGGGTTAAAATTTGTAAAACTGATATAATACAGCCCGCATGATTTTTTTTCTGTCCAAACATGAGTAAGCACCAAACAAAAATAAACAAGGCTTTTTATTTTATTGTTCGAATTTATTTGAGATATGTGGACAAAAAACTGACCATGATACGAATTGATATGCATGACGGCTGTAATCATACAGGAGATTGTAAATGTATCCTAATAAAACAGATTACGTTTTTTGATCGATGTAATTATTACAAAGTATTACCCACTAGTACATTAACTTTGAAAATGTTTCTCTTGTCTACACAGGATAAATTGTAGACTTGCTGGATTATTAACACCCCTATGTTGTATGTTATTTATTACCATCATGCTTGCAAACACAAGGTTTACAACAAACTGGTCAAATTATTTCCAAGCGCTTATGTAATCGCAGAAAATAACTTCGAGTCAAGAAATGTAAAAATTCACCTGCATTTGAATGCACAAAATAGTCATTTTTTATTGAAAATGGTCTAATTTGCAATTTTGTATACCAGAGATAATGAAATGACGATCCATTTTTGTTGTAAGCTCAAAATGTGTAACAAACAAGACTATTAACCAGAAACTTAAGATAAAATTTAAAGAGGACTAGAGATTTTTTTATACAGGGTGTTAAAAAAAGATTGTAAAATATTTCAGGAGGTAAAAACACACAAAAAAGTTTTAATAAACATGGATCCACAAAGTAACGGTTTCGGAGATATCGAAAATTATTCGTTCTTCGAAACAATTATTTTCAATATGTTCAAACAAAAAAGAGAAGCTTCTGGTAAAAATTCTAAAAATTTTCAGATTCGATATCTCCGAAATTGTTACTTTAACCCATATTTAGTAAGACTTTTTTGTTTATTTTGATCCATACTATTACCTCCTTAAATATTTTACAATCTTTTTTCAACAACCTGTATGAGTAAAAGGGGTATTTTTTCTGAAACAGGAGAATATTCGTCTTTGGGATGAATTATTGAATTCGGTTTAGCCTTATGAACAAAAAAGGGAAATATATTCGAATATAAATTTCAAATCGTCAAAGATCTCCAACAAGAAATTATGACTTGATTAATTCAGGTTTAATAAGAATATTTCTGGCTGAAACTTACAAAATCATGTTTTATAAAAAAAGACATTAGTTTAATTTTTTTTATTTGAAAAAAATTCTACCATTTCTGAAGTAATGTAAGCCGGACATAACAAGAAAAAAATATAATAACTGTCAAAATGACAATTCCAAAAAAATACCCTTAATCTTTTTTTTAGTTGGTTACTGAATATTAAAAATGTTGTATGACCAATGGTTAATAAAAAATGTCAAAAAACAACACATAACCTTACTAATTGCAATGATAATGTAATTTTGTTCGGGGTATGTAATAATTTCCCAGCTTTTTTTAGTGATCATCTAGTTCCTAGCTGTTGTCATGTCATAAAATTGATAGATTACAATATGATTACAAATAAAAAATTAAAAATGTTTTTCGAAATCATGTTGCTTTCTTTTTTTTGTCCTATATTTTGTTCGTTTATCTTTCTTTTTCAATCAATTTTTGTCCACAAATGGTCAAATTTTCGAAGAATTATAATAAAAACATAAACGTTGCAATTTTCTCATAGATTTGGTGAAAATCTACTACAATATTCAAATAAAAATAATATTTAAGCACAATATTATTAACCCAAGTCATGGAAATTACGTATTAAATAATATTGTAAGCCTACCCCTAGGAACATAAATAAAAACGATCGAAAATAAAATTTCTTAGAACCTTGATCGTTTTAGAACGATATAAGTCGATAAGATTTTCTTATTAATGAATAGGAGACTGCTATCATGAAAAAATATTTGTATTAGTGTAAATTGAAGTGCTTGTAATAAAAAGAACTAAAAAATATAAAAGTAAATAGATAAAAAGGTAAAGGTGCACAAGTTTTGCCATAAAAATGCGCACACCTTGCAATTCTTATCTTCTATAATCTATACAGAGTGTTTATCAAAAACATATAGAGACAAAAACACAATTTTGCCGACCTTCCGAACTAAATTAGTTGTTTTTTATCTGAAAATAAGGTTGAGTTAAAAAAGTACCTTTCTTAAGCAATGTCCTTGAGAAGAATTAATAAACTGTATTGTTTTTTCGGCGTGTCAATAAGTTTTGTGTCCGCGGTAGCAAGTGAAGTGTGGTGTATTATGACGGCTATGACCAAATAGAGTCGCGTCAATGGCAACAACTGCCAATAAAAATCATAGATGGCCTCTTGTATATCATTAGTATTGCTCAACAAGGAAAACCATGGCAGAAGGTTAGTGGATTTTCTTGCAAGTAAACGAGATAGTTGACCAGGTGAAGTCACGAAAAGATTATGTTTATAATAATGGAATGTCGCACTACTGGTCGGTTGACTACCATGGTCAACGCCATGGCCAAATTATAACTTGTTCATTGTAATTTATTCCGCGTTATGTTATCCTTTCTAATTAAATAGTTGGGAGGATTGCGGTTTCGATGCAAACTTGAAATTCTGATTGGAGAAATTTGAATTAAATAAAACATAATTTGGATAATTGTTGTTGTGTTAAAAGCGATGTTCTACACGTTTATAAAAACTAGATTAATTAATTAGTGACAGGTTACACTTGTATGATGAAAAGAATAATAAAAAGGCAAATAGAAATAAAACGTAACACGAGTTAATCGTTACTTGCTACGCATAAATTAACAATTACCAATAATTATTAGATTTCATCATAAATGTCAGTAAAAACAATATCGATAAATCATTTACCTTGATTCTATGCCGTTTGTCCTTACACGTCTTGAGGAATTGCAAAGGTCCGACGGCACTTTCCATTTTCGTAAATATATTTTTGTGAAAAGTTTTTCGTTTGGTCTGTATGGGTACTGAAATAAAAATTAAAAAATCACCCACTTGAGAAAAAATAGATTTTAATTTTAGTGAAAACAAACACCTGGACCCACCATTTCTTAAATGAATTTTGATCAAAAAGAAAAAAGTTGTTGACCGTGAGCTATTTATCAATAACCAGATTTAAAATAGGATACGAAAACGCACACACCTTATTCATTACATATTTCTAATTAATATGAATTTATAATGTCATAATACATAATGATAATTATTGAAAAATATATGGTATTAATATTTTTAACAAAATACAAATGAAAAAAATCAAAGCCACGCATGAAATCTATTTTTTTTATGAATAAGAAACCCAATACATGAAAAATGAAAATGAAGACGATTTGCATTTTCTTTGATTTTTTTTCAGAGAGAAAAATTGTATGAGACAAATTTACGTGAAATTTGGGATTTGTAAAAAAAGTTAAATTATGAATTTAATTTTGCTGTGATTCTCAGAAACTCTAGCTCATATATCAAAACGGTTGTTTTGCAAAATGTAAATATTGCATGCAGTCTACATCAAATGGATTTTTTATTTTAAAATTGAATCTGATTTTGATTCTCTGATATTGATAAATCGAAAAAACCTTTTACTGAGATTGAATGGACATGTATAACAGTTTAGTAAACGTCCATTTTCATTTTTTTAACTGCAAAGTAAAATCACAATTTTTTCACAAATTTTCATCACCTGAAACGGTTTTTTTTTCGAAGTTATCACCTGTACTTCTGAGGTATAGGATACTATGTTCATTTCCAAATTTTGCAAGAAGCGGCTTAAAGTTTTTTATTTCAGTCTCTGGTAATCAACTTCTCTAGATATTGATTTAAGTCATAGTATCCAAAATATGTATACATTTTTAGATTTTTCATGTTTTATATTCTTCGTTTTTGGATTTTTTTGTTCGTGTGTTTGCGTTATTATAGCATACTACAAGTATACCTAGATTTAAATTCTCATTATCATATTTTTTATTTGAAATTGTGATTACAAAACGTGAATAATTTTTTTTACAAAGATTTCACATAAAAACTTTGAAGAAGGCTTAAAATTAAAAACAATTCGTCATGGATTAATATCCTCAAACACTCAATAACAGCAGAAAAAATAATATAACAGGAAATTTATTAGACTTATAACATGCTGCAAAATTTTTAGTGGGTATAAAAAAATTGTTTCTCTAATTAGTAATCATCTTTTGAGAATTTGGGTTTCTGTCTTTCTTTCTTTTATTAAATATCTCCAAAACTTGTATCAAACTAAATTCCATTTTCCAAGAAGTACTTAAAGTTTTTTTGTATTATAAGGGAGGAAAAGACACTTTTCTCGAGTGTAGTACATTTAATTTTTCATACGATCCGGCAAGAAAAACTAACAATTTTTCTTGAAATCCCAGTTTCGTCATTAAGTCTAGAAATATGTTTTTCCGTTTTTATGGGGGAGGTAAAATTTTTACCTCCTGAGAGGTTACATATATTTTTAATGTAATTTTGACAGATGAGATAATAATTTTTTATCTTCTGGAGAGGTAATTGGCCACTTTCCTTTCTGGAATTATGGTGGAAAACTTACTTTCTGCTAATTTTGGGTTTCGATCACGCTAAAATTTTGTCTTTTTGCATACTTTTCCTTGGAAAACTATCCGAAAGTGTGAAATAAGGAGACAACATGAATTTTTGACAATCCTCTTAATATAGTCGATCAATGAAATTTTCTGATTGATAATTGTTTCAAATTTCAACTATTCTACTTTTTCTGCAAAGATCAATAGATATAATCCGTCGATGAAACATTCCATTCCTTGCAGTTTTGAATCTGTAAAACTTCAGCCAAGAGCAGTATAAAACCGTAAACAAATGCAAGCATGAATGAACTGAATTCCAATCCCAAACATTCGCAATTTTTTAAACTGTCTTCTTTATTTTGCATTCTCCCATCTCATAAACACACAAAACCGGCAAAAACATCTAATATTATAACATAGTTACTTAAGATCTGCGTACAGCACCCAACAAACATAAAACAGCAACATTGGCTCCGCGAGGTGAATGAACCCGGTGTAAGTTCGCGTACGCCGTGTGCTCTGCCAGAGCATGGTGTAACTCCGAGTCGTCGCAGAACGCTACTCGATGAAGTCATCAATCAAGTCAGAACTTTTTCCAGGAGTTCTGTGGACCGACGCGATTCTTTCCTTTCTACTTGCGTCACACTGCATGTCACTTTTCCAGTTTAATTACTCAGCAACTTTCTTCGAGGGAACATCGTACTAGACGATTATTTATCACCTCTTAATGATACTTTTCTAGTATCATTTTGTGAATTTTCAGAAAACTATGAATTAGAGGATGTATAATCACAATCCGTTAGTACTTGTAGACAATTTCACGGGTACTGAGCACCAGCACTTCTGCACTGAGTAACCCGCCATGACCGACCAACCAGGAAGGTCAATGTTACATCAGTCTTACCACATACGGACGTTACAACCTCAAATTATGTAATTTTCTGTATTAAATACTGACACAGAATTGAAAAAGTGAAAATTACTAATCCACACTTTTCCATTTCGTTGAGTTTGAAAATTCATTCACTTTTACAGCTTTAGGAATGCAATTAAAAATAGTTTAATTACGTAAGAAACAATAATAAATAGCTTGCGAGTGCCAAGTCTGTCAGACGCAGGGCATTGCTCTCTGCATAAACTAAGGGATAACTCTGGAACAAAAGTCTAAATATAAATAAACTGTCAATGACTCGAAATGGTTGATCACATTATGGATGTCCTACATAGACACTGACGTAATCAAATTTATATTAAGAACGTTAATTGTTCCAACAGAAATGGACCAAGTATTTTTCTATTTCGCGTTAAAAACGCTCAAAAAAAAATATAAAAAACATGTGTTGCAACATCTCATTGTGACACTCGTACATTCACTCACCACTGCGTGGCTCGTGTTACAAACAATTGGTATCACAATGATAGTTTTTTGTAACACTTGTTTTTTTTCCTCATTCTCTTGAAAAATCAATCTTATGTCTATCAACACCTCCCTGAAGGTTTCTTCTCCACTATTTCGTCATATTATCTCACAGACACTATGAAAAACAAACACTGGGTTCATTCATGTTTTTTTTGTTGTTTTTTTTTTAGTTTATGGGTTTATTAACCTCACCCTTTCACTGTCTTAAAACACAAAAAGAGATACAAACAAATAGAAATAACAAGTTCGTTGATTTCAAACATAACCTCACTTTTTGAAATGATTTTGTTCTTGAATAATAGTTAAGCTCATAACGATTGAGACACTTACACTGATGTGGTAGCCACCTTCTTTCAATGGGGGCCGTTTGGGGCACTTCAGTTTTTTTGCTTTTAGCCGGTGCTTGAGGTTTACCCTCGAGCACTGACTTAAAAATGTGAATATTGTCATACGTTTTTGCCTCAGGAATCGGTATAGCTACGTTGGGTGTTCGTAAAGCCAACAATGGGTCGAATTGTTCGCTAAAAAAGTCTAATTTTGGGTTGTAATTTGTGTTTTTTTCTGATTTTTCTTCTTCACTAACGTTTGACGTTTCTTTGGAAGCCATTTTTAAACAACTGACCTGATTTTGTCAAATGTTGGTAAATTAGGTAACTGTAAATGGGTACGCGAGTGGCCTCATGCACATGGAGTCCTAAACTTTTAGTCTTTACCACTTTAATTTGTTTCAATAATAATTAGTTACAAATTAAAAGAAAAATTACTTAAAACATTTTTTCTATTATTAAAAAGTGTTTGTGTAATTACTTAATACAAATAAAAACCAATTTGTGATTACTTCTATAAATAAATGCAATTTTTTCATAGATCTTTCGACTTATTTAACAAAAACAATTTGTGTTATATTTTTTTTTAGTTTTCTTACTTTTCGTATTTTAGTGTACCAAATATACAAAAACTACCACCCTTGTAACATTACCATTAATTCCAAGAAAAAAACCTAACACCTAGTGTATACATTAGAATTTTTTTTTATATTTACATGTTATCTAATCATAAATATTTATTTATAGTATATGGCGCCTTCTAAAAGATAACCGAAATCTTATTTCTCAGAATATAATTATCGTTCGTTTACCTAAGAAAGTGTGGAGTTTTACATTGAAACCTAATAATTTAATTTTTTATTATTTAACTTATTTTTTTCACGGTTTTGTCAACCCAAAAATTATAATATAGAAATTTTCTGATTTTCTATTTTTTTGATATTGATCAAAAATAGGAAAAACTCATTTGCTAAACTAGTCAAAAAATACTTGTAGAACATTTTTTTTAACAAAAATCTTCAATTTATAGTTTGTGAATCACTAATTGAGAAAATTGAGATAATTTTCGTAACATAATGGAGTTGATGAATTTATGATAATAAAAACAATTTGATTTTACTCTGTTGTCAATTTTTTAGAAACATTAGTAAGGTTATTTCAACTTATTAACACACAATGAGTTTTTTGGAGGTTATTTTTAAATAGGCTGGATCTGTTTAGATAGTTCTTGTTCAATATTTAGTTCTTAACCCTAATCTCAAAAAATCAGCCCTAAATAATTTTTTTATTTGATTTTTTCTTTTTTTTAATTTTTTATAGTTTTTATTATTTTCATTATTTTTAAATGGTGTGTTATTTCAGCCCCAAGTCAAAAATAGTGGTTAGTTTGTAGCGTGATAAAATGTAAATATTGCGTAACTGGAAAAACAAACAAAAGTGTAGATGTAAGCATTACGCTGGAATTTACATCAATTCACTTTCACAAAAAAAAGAAATTTATGCAATTTGCATCTTTAGAAGAAATATTCACTTTCTACAGGTGAATAATCTAGTTTTGAAAATTGGGTATCTAAGCCTAAGGAGTTTAAATTTTATTCGATCAAAAAATAATTTAATTAATTAATTAAATAAAACTGTAATAATAAAAATTTACATCACTTTCACTGTTTCATTAATTAAAAGTTCATTTCACCCGGTGAAAGTTGGCGGCAAAGATTTACCAACTTCTAATACATTCATTTTCAACGTCAATAAACCTAAGAATTTTTAATGTCTCGGTGATTATTGAGAAAAAATTTATTTGCGAGAGAATAAATTATAATACTGACAACTTTTTGAATATTTTTGTAATTTAAACTGCCAAGGTTTTATTATTAAAAAAAAATAATTATTAAAAATTTACTGCACGTAATATTTTAATGAATCTATTAGCTTTCATAATAAGATGTCTTTGAAGATATCTAACGGTAATTTATTTATTTATAAATGATAGTTCCTTCGTGATAAATTTAATTTTAGTTTTTTTTTTATTATTTAATTTATTCTATTTTATTTCAGACTTAAGGGAATCCCGTGTTCATGTGTTGGAGACGGTTCGACATTCATCGAGACATTTCAAGGTAATTTCTACGTTATTTAACTTAATGAATATTTAATTTTATCACAGACCTACCTCAAACATGAGTATTAGCTTTATTTACAATATAAACATTAAAAAAAAAACTAATATCAAGGTTTAGTTGCTAATTATTCCCTTATAGAGTGTTCATTTTTTTTGTAAATAAAACTAGTAGTGCAATTTTTTTGAAATAATTGTCAAAATTTGACAATAACATACAGAAGCCTAAATTAGTATATTACAACCGAGGTGGGACAAATTTTATTAACCCAAGGGCCTATGCTTTTCACAACCAAATTGGAAAAAATCTTGTATAAAACACGATTCAAAATGGCTGTTTTTTGCACACGTCTAGTAAAAAACACGCTTATTTTGTAACTTGTTGCATAAATAAACTAAAAATTTTTTTTAACATTTTTTTAGTAACATTTTTTAACTTTTTTGTCATAGTCGATTTTGGTTGAGAAAAACGAAATTTAAAACTTTTATTTCTTTTAATTTTTTTATTTCTATTGATTATTGTTTTTTTGAATGTATTTTGAAAGAGTTTTTATTTTATGTTTTGATTTCCAATTCCCATTTAGTATTTATTAGTTCATGTAATTTACTGATTTGTGTTATTTTATGCTTATTTTTATAATTTTTATATTTTTTTATTTTTTATATATTTTTTTAACTTTTACACTTTACACTTTTTGTATAACATGTTTTTGTGTTTTTAAACTGCGATGAGGTTGCCCCACTCTAAAATTTGTAACGACACCCATGCCCAAGGGCACCACCTAGATTTGTATTTTTTTAACGGATTTAACTATTTTTGACTAATTATGAAAAATAAAATGAAATAAAACTGATGAATTTACTCTTTTTCCAGATCACTTTTGATACGACACCAGTTCCAAGTAGGGTAGTAGCACTTAATCGCCTCGAAGTAGAAAAAAAGGGGGTAGAAAATAATTGCGGGGGAATAGGGGTCCTCCAGCCACATCGTGGCGGGGACTCACGTCCTAGGGGCTCAGGCGCCTATGTCGCTGGCGATGCCCTTTATCGATAACGATCTATTATGGAGTTCTGATCATGATGGTAAAATGGTCGACTTATCTTCTTGCCTTCAAGCACGTATTTCAGATAAGAAATTCTGAACAGCGATTAATCTTTGATTTTTTTAGGATGCTTCCGTACCTGTGGGACAACAAACAACAGCAGGGATGGGTCTGGGTGAATTGTCACAATCTGACCTAAGTTCTTTAGTTCCTCCTTTACCAGAAGCTAATATCGCCGACAACGACGAGATTTTTAAGCACTTGTCTGATACGACTTCCATTGAAATAGATACTCTTTTAAATGAATTTAACCCAACTCCCTTTATTAAGGTAAATCGAAAATTTTAGAAACGAAAATGTGATAAAGACAGGAAGCAACAAAAATTTGTCTACTTGTCTACTTAAAATATATATATATATATATATCAGCTTTATCTGATTCAGTGTAGCCACTTCAAAAAAATAAAAATTTACCATATCCGAGTTGAAAAAATTGCCAAAAGGGAGTTTTGAGATTAAAATTATCGAAAATTTCGAAAAAAGCAAAAATGCCATCATTTTTGTGGTTTTTCGGCTTGTTTTTACCAAAATTTTGCTAGCTGTAAAACGTTTGAGAAAAAAAAATAATTTGTGACCAGTCGATTTTCTTGGCGAAACCTCGCTAAAAAACCTGAGATTTTAGTATAAAAACGTGCTTAAACATATTTTCACCAAATTTTGTGATTTTTTGGCTTACTTTTGTCTTAATCTTACTTAAAAACCAGTTAAAACGAACGAAACAAACAAAATTACATCAAAATCAAATTTTTGGGGTTTTTGGCGTATTTTTGGCGTATGAACAAGATTTTGCAAAATAAATGAGCCTCTGATCCAAAAACAAAGTAAGTCGAGCAAAATAAGCTCAAATAATAATTTCAATTTAATTTTTCAATTTTTTGCCTGTTCAAATGTGACTTTTCTGTTTTTTTTTATTTTTATCTCAAAAACTTGTTTAAACACTCAAAAAAGCAATAATAATGCAATGTTTTGTTGAGTTTTTGTCAAAATTTTGCGAAATAATTGCGTTTCTAGTTGAAGAACGTGCTGAAACGTTTGAGAAATGCAAAAAAAATATTCCTGACCAAACTTTGTCGATTTTTTGGTTTGTTTCTAGCGAAAAACCTGAAATTTTAGTATAAAAACGTGCTTAAACGTATTTTAACCAAAATTTGTGTTTTTTTCGGCTTGTTTTTATCTTAGTTTTACTCAAAAACTAGTTAAAAGGAATGAAACCAACAAAATTACATCAATATAAATTCTTGTTTAGATTTTTAGGCGTATTTGGACAAGATTTTGCAAAATAAATAAGCAAAATAAATTGAACAAAACAATGAACTAAAAAAATATCAATTTCGATTTAATTTTGCAATTCCTGGTCTGTTCAAACGTAATTTTTTTGTTTTTTATTTTTATGTCACTCAAAAAAAGCAAAAATAACACAATGTTTTACCTGTTTTGTTGAATTTTTTCTTGTTTTAAACAAAATTTTGCGTTTCTAGCTGAAATGCAAAATTATTATAATTTTCGATTTAGTTTGTTGATTTTTTGGTTTGCAAAAAAACTGAGATTTCAATACACAAACGTACTTAAAAGCATTTTAATCAAATTTTGTAATTGGTGGTTTTCCGAATTTTTTGAGATTTGTCGAAATTATCAAGTTTTTGGTTGAAAAATGTGGAAAATGCTCGAAAAGATGCAAAAATAGTGTCATTTATTTTAGACCTAATTTTTTGTTGTAACCGAAGTTACAACAGTTTTTCATTTTTACAAAATTACTTAATATTAAGATTTTTACAAAAGTTTTTATTAAATCACCATAATAGCATGAAAAACACAAGATCTAGTGAAGTTTTACAAGGCAACACTGATAGTAGGCAACCAGTTATACATTTCACAAACTTGCTCATTCAAACTTTAAAAAAATTTGAACAATTTCTTTAAGAGTGAATGAAAAACGTGAAAGGAAGAAGAGAAACGCAAAATAATTTTTATAGAAAACCTCGGTAACAAAATGTTTAGATTATAATTTCTTCACCAGAGAAAATTACTTCAGTTATTTTAACTTAAAATAACAACCAGTGTTGTATTTAAGCCACAAAATATTGTGACTAAAGTTAAGTGTGTTCATTTTGCAATAAAACAAATGAAACAATGGGTGATTTTGATTCAATTTTAATTTAATTTTGCAATTTTTTACCTGTTCAAACGTGATTTTTTGATTTTTTTATTTTTATCTCAAAAACTTGCTTAAACACTCAAAAAAGCAATAATAACACAATATGTTGCCTGTTTTGTTGAGTTTTTGTCAAAATTTTGCGAAATAATTGCGTTAACTTAAAATAACAATCAGTGTTGTTTTTAAGCCACAAAATATTCTGACTAAAGTTAAGTGTGTTAATTTTGCAATAAAACGAATGAGATAATGGGTGATTTTCATTCATGTTTTTCAAGATAATGCAGACTTAGTGTAGAGAATGACGGAGCCGTAAAGCTTGAGATCGAGGATAAATTATCCCATTTTATTTGAATTTGAAAGTTTTTTGTAAAAAAGTAATATATTACTTACTTTAAGTTTTATAATTTATAACTGGTTGCCTGTGACTATTCCTTGGATCAGTAACAATTTTACTTGGACATAAAAAAATATTGTAATTATTTTTATTAAAAAAATTATTATATTATTTACACATATTTCAGAAGCTTACTATTTGCGATGTAATTAATGGCTTATGTCTTATGTATGATTTTTATGAATATTTTATTACCAATTTATGTACTTATTTCGTTTCAAATTTTAATTAAGAGGTAGAAAAGCTTTTAAATAAAGCTTTTTAACTGATAAAAAAAATTCCGCATTAATAAATATTTGTTTTCAAGATGTTGTAACTAAAAATAGGATAAAATGCGCATAGGGTTATATGCACCGACTAGTAATACCTTAACACTAGATGTCTCTCACTTTCTTTCAGCAGGAAGAAAACAACAATATCCCCAACTGTCCCGATGAAGCTTCCGGTGGTTCTGCCGCTCACCAAAAGAGTGCGCAAGTGATGCTGGAAATGCGTTCTTTGAAATACACGATTGCTGCAGCAAATCCGATTCTTGCCGAGAAACTAGCGACACCCAGTGAGCAAAACGTACAACAGAATGACAACAACGGTCGACCGCAGCTGGCGCCACTGACACCGAAAGTCGAAAAAGGTAGGATTTCAAACTAAGTGTTTTTCTTCTCTTATCAACAATTGTATTCCAATTTTAGTTTCTTGCTTTTTACATTTGATTAATAAAACACAAAATCACTGTTTATGTTGTATCTTGAATAGCTGTAACGACTTACACAAAATAGTTTTTTTGCGTGCAATTATTTTTAATTGCCCTGTATATCGGGTAATTTTTCAGGAACTTAAATATATCATCAAAACTTTTAATAAATTGATTATTAGTATCCTCAACATATTAGAAACAAAAATAGGTTCAATAAAATATTGAGAAAAATAAAAAAATCTAATAACTTATTGGATATCAGAGCCTTGGGGCACACCTCTAGTAACAGAAACAGCATAAATTGTAATTTTTCCATTTTTCTTTATTTATGGACTGCAAGGAAGACAGTTGCATTAACCTTGACCCGAAAACGTTTATTGTATATTAAACACATTGAATTAATCTACATTATGAAAATGTCAGGTATTAGTCACTTCATTGTTTCCGTTTTTTTTTAATTAGTTCTAATTATAATATTCCGGGTTAAAAAACCGAATTACACAAAAGTTGGAGCACCTAAATGCAGGTACTTACACCATCACAACGTTTAAAAGGTTAGTTGCTACGTCAGGAATCTGAACCTTGTACTAAATACTGTAAAATGATTTAAATAAACATACTCAATTAATTTCACAATCGGTTAAATATATTTGGGCATGCAATTTGTGCAACTCAGGACCATTTCCTATGAAATAAATGTCATAAATTTATTACTTTTTCCTCAAAAACATATCACAGAAGAAGTCATAAAGTCGAACATCTTATCGCACATAAAATTTCCACGCTGAGGGTCTCCCAGGCCACAGCCCTGTCACATGTGAGGGTGAACGCCACACATGTTCTTAGTTAGAGAGTCATAATGCCATCTATTATATCCCTCATTAAACGGGGGCAATCTCTTAAACATGCACTTTTATAGGGGATTAGTAAAAAAGACATAATTTATTTGAGGCGGAGTGAGGTGGGTCTACTTCTCAATTTTTAATAGCACAATTTTACATTGTCGTAAATCAGAATCTAGGAAACAGGACACTAATCTGTCGCAATTTATGAGCACAAATAAAATTGTTTTACGACACTTTCAGTTTTTGTTAAATCGTAAAATTTGACACTAGGGTAAGTCGGGGAGAGATGACCACATTTTTGTAAAATCTTTATTCAATTCACAACACGAATTTTCTCATAACAACTTTAGGACAACTTATACCTAAACGTAATAAAATAAAAAAAAAACATTTTTAAATACATAAAAAAATAATAAAATATTATGATGTAATGTGTACTGGGCGAGTGAGATGGACCAGTAATAGTTTCAACTTATTTTCTTAACAATGTTTTCTATATTTTTTATTTATTTTGTTTTACATTTTTTCTATATTTTTGACAAATCTGGATCTATTCGCGTCTATCATTCGTCAAATCATTTTATTAACTTTAAAAATCTTGATTTTGGAATAATAACTGTTGCTCATCTCTATTTTCTCTAATGTAAATTGTAAGAGAAAAGTGAAAAGAGAGACATAGACAGAAAAAATGTTGAGGACTAGGAATTAAACCTTAAACTTTTGGTAATTAGGCCCAAAATAGTTTAAAAATTAAAGAAGGAAAACATATAAAGAGAGAAAGAAGAAAACAGAGAAACGAAAAAAGCAGAAAGAAATAAAAGAGAGAAAAAAATAGGAAGTGAAGAGAGGGAAAATAGAGAGTAGAGAAAATAAAGAGAATAAACAATATTGCAATAATATTCTTTTGT